AGCTTTTTTTTTTTTTTTTTTTTTTTACAACTGCTACCATCTGCTGTGAAGATAAATTACAAGATGCAGCCCAGTAATGACTCCTGAAATCAATCTATGGGTCACAACCAACATTTAAAAAGCTCTCATAGTAAATATTAGAGTGCATCATATATAACACTATACACACACACACACACACACACACGACATATGATGTTTCAGGTTTTTACTTTTTTGTCTTGTTTTCGGTGAAATTTATGAGTGTCCCTGCATTTTGCACAATTCCAGGAGGCACATCCATAGTGTAGCAAGCTCTGCAGTAATATACACTTAGGTATGTGTGTACTAGTCATTATGTAAAAATTTCTCACTGTGGATCACAGTCAAAACAAATAGGCAAACACTGATCTATCGGAAAGATTAAATATTTGATTTAGAATCTTGCTTTCAAATCCAACTATCACCACTCACTCTGCAGTTCAAAGTTTTCATCTGTAAAATGGAGAAATATCTCATACAGCTACAAAGAAAACAAAACAAATAATATATGTCAGTGCCTGATGCCAACTCCAGCACTCTGTAATTATTGGATATGTCTTAGTGCTCTACTGCCTTACCCCACAGTGCTTCCATTAAGGCTAGCCTAGCCTAGCCTGTGACAAGATGAAATTTTCCTTGACATTTTTCAGGGCAACAAGATTTTATTTTTATTGCCAATATAACTAACATGGAATAGTTACAAAGACCCCCAATATGTACAAGGCCATTCTTTGCACTATATCTGATTCCTTTCCTTAGATGAGAAGAGTTGAGCACTCTGAATAGCAGCTCAGTTTCTCAACAAACATATATATTCTCAGCACTCTTAAAAGGGCCAAACACATAGAATACAATTGTGGTCACACAGTCACATGGACCCTGTCCTCAGAGTTTGCAGAGTAGGTAAGCAAATCATGAGCAACACAGTCATGTGTAAATTAAAGTCTGACATCACTTCCCAAATAGGCTGCAAACAAAACAAAGAACTAGAAATTATCTCACACAAGTTTTGACATTTGCTACTAGCACTTGCATTGCCAAAATTAAATGTATGGAAAGAAAGGCCTAAATATATACTAAGTAATTTTATATGTTAGAATTTTTCCATATTAAAAATTGACAAAAAGAAAAAAAACTGATGCAACAAAACTTATTCAGAGTCCAAAGACTAGCTATTCCCCCCCGCCACCAATGTAAATACGATTTATCCTATTTTTCTTTTGACCAACTTCAAAAAACAGAATATCTGTACTATATATTAAAATGACTATTTCACACTGGTCTCTTCCATATCTTAAAAATCACTGTGAGGCAATAAGCCTACAAGCCCTTACTGCAAACCTAACTTAGAGCACAGGTACTAAATACTGACACAGCATGTATAATTCAATATAGATAAGGACCACATTGAAATGAAATTTATAAGTACGTTAATACAGAAGCATTGCTAGAAAGAAGTCATGATATTAAAATAAGGTGTGGGGCTTCCCTGGTGGCGCAGTGGTTAAGAATCCGCCTGCCAATGCAGGGGACACGGGTTCGAGCTCTGGTCCGGGAAGATCCCACATGCCGTGGAGCAACTAAGCCCTTGCGCCACAACTACTGAGCCTGCGCTCTAGAGCCCACGAGCCCAACTACTGAAGCCCGCGCTCTGCAACAAGAGACGCCACCACAAGGAGAAGCCCACGCACCGCAACGAAGAGTAGCCCCCACCTGCTGCAACTAGAGAAAGCCTGCACGCAGCAACGAAGACCCAACGCAGCCAAGAATAAATTTTTAAAATAATAATAAATAAATAAATAAAATAAGGTGTGGTCCATAATGTATTTGAGTCACTGATCTAATTACCAAATTTGTCTAGGCTTATTTATCTGTAAAACTGGGAAGCAATTCTTACTAAATTCCAAGGATGCTCTGAGGACACGATTATAAATCTAGGTACTATAATAAGTCCTTATGCAATCAATTTGGACTACAGTATGATGTTATTAGAAAAAGGCAGTATATGCTAATGGGATGTTCAAAAGCACTCAAAACCACAGCATTGAGAAGTATTTCTCATGGTGAGTCAACTGTATCCTGGATTGAACATCTGCTGACATAAAAGAATGTGATAGTCTTCAAAAAATTCAGTCTTCTAACGAAAACACTAATCTGAAAAGATACATTCAGCCCAATGTTCACAGCAGCATTATTTACAATTGCCAAGATATAGAAGCAACCTACGTGTCCATTAACAGATGAGTGGATAAAGACGTGGTGTGTGTGTATGTACATATAGATATATGTGCACACACACACAGCCACACACACCGGAATACTACCCAGATGTAAAAAAAGCATTAAATTTTGCCCTTTGCAACAACATGGATGGACCTGGAGGGTATAATACTAAGTGAAATAAGTCAGAGAAAGACAAATACTGTACAACATCACTTATATGTGAAATCAAAAAAATAAAACCAGTGAATATAACAAAAAAACAGACTCACAGATATAGAGAACTAGTGGTTACCTGTGGGGAGAGGGAAGGGGGAAGGGCAAGATAGGAGTAGGGGACTAAGGGGGTACAAACTATGTATGAAATAAATAAGCTACAACGATATATAGTACAACAGAGGAGGAAAAAACCTCAGTCTTCTAAAACTGAGTGATGACAAATTCAGAGGCCTGTCACTGGTACTCAGCAGCACAGTTAAAACGATTCAAGTAACTGTTAATCTCTGTTCCACTGTTACCTTCCATCAAACAGTTAGGCTAGAACTCAGACCTTTCAAATCTCAAATGGTTTAAGAATTCAAGATGCCAAATTTCTGATACATAAATTTTATGGCTGGATTATGGAATTATGCTAGACTCCTTAACAAGACTATTGAAAATTCTCCTCTATAAAAAGATAATACCATTGCCACCATTTAACTAATTTTTCCTAAACTGGTCATTCTGCTGCTCCACCTACAACTGTCACCCAGTTCCAGTCTTTTCATAAGCTACCACACACTAGTGGGGCAGTTGGCTGGGGTTATGCTGCAGCAAGCAGCCAAATAAAGTGAAGTTAACTGGAACTGAACCAATGGTCATTTTGCAAGGACACCTGAACTCTGAAGCACTTTGTAAAGTGCTGGTTACTTCTAATAATATTCCGGTGAAGTTTCAGTACTGAGCCATCCATTATATTTCATTGCCAACTATATGTCACCTTAAAAACAAGAAGACTGCAAGACATTTCCCTGGCTTTAAAAAAAAGAAGAAAAATCACAAATCTAGTCCAATTCTTTTTTTTTTTTTTTTTTTTTTTTTTTTTTTTTTTTT